TGCCTTGGATGCCGACAGTAGCTTGTTAGTAGCCAGCACCATGGCCAGACCGAGACCCAGACCCAGAGCCAGAGCCAGAACCAGGGCCAGGGCCAGGGCCAGGACCAGCAACAGTCTAGACTTTAAGTTGGCTAATAGCTGTAGCTGCTGGAGTAGCTATTTCTATAGCGAAGAGGCAGCATCCTTTCAGCTGGAGCTCGTTGAAATTCGGTTTTAGCTATTCCTATTTGATATACCTATTGCAAAATGTGTCAGCAGGGTCTATTGCTATTGATAACATGTATTTTACAGGTAGTACGGCTGATAACAGGGATTTGTTAGCCTCTATCCATTTGAATAACAGCTTAATTGTAAATGGTATTACCAGTATACAGATATAACAATATAACAGTATAACAACAATACCAGTATGAGAGTATAATATATATATATATTAGTATTAATGTAATGTGCATGAATCTCATAGCGAGCTAGAGTCTGGTTAATTGCAGGTCATTCGCTAGCCGTGCACTCCCCATGCGAGCGCTCTCATTTGCTTCATTTTCTCTGTAAATTTGTACTAAACCGAATTGACGCTTTTTTGTATTACTTATTTGGCGACCATTATTTGTGCGGATGAAGTCAACCAGCAAGTGGACTCTTGGCCTGGCTTTCGCTTTTATTTTGTATTTTTTTTCCTTTTCTCGTTAGCTTTGGCTCTTTGTGTGTGTGTGTGTGTGTATGTTTGTGTGTTGAGCGCCTTTTCATTCGACCCTGCACTTGATAATGAAATATAAACGTGGCAATATGTGAGAGAGACTTTATCAGTCCCTCTGTACGTCCGCCTATGTGTGGCCAGCAGAGAGAACAAAAAAAATTACAAAGACAAGCAACAGCCAAAGTCGAGTCCTTTTACGAAAGGACTTCATTTCGACATTCGACGAAAGCATAAATTAATCCGATTTAAGCGGCTGAGTGGTTTATTTTTTATGATTTTTGAGCTAGCTTTCAGCGGGCAGTTCATTTTTTAGCCTAATGAGCCACCAGAGAGAGTGAGGGATAGAAGAAGAGTGAGAGAGAGCTAAGATTGTTTGTCAGTTTTGTTGTCTTGTGTGGCATTATTACTGAGGTAACTGCGCTAACACTAAGTCCCAAATTGAGCCTCGGCAGCAGATGCTGCACACTTTGGCAACACGCGCGCTCATTAAATGCCCCGACAGCCACGCCCCGAGACGCAGCGCGGCAAAGGGGCAAAGTTTTTAATGCACTTGCAACGGAGCAGCTGCTTTGGATGCTGCCTCAAGTGTGGCACATTCTAAATTCAATTGAGCTTGAAGTGTTCAAAAGGCGCCAACCCATGCAGCTGACGGTTTACAGTGAAAACAGAGTGAGAGAGAGGGCGAAAGAGTGAGAGTGACAGAGAGATGGAGAGAGAGAGAGAGAGAGAGAGCGCGGTTGGAGTTGGTAGAAACAGCTCAGCAACGGCTCAGACACCTTGGAAGACAAACAAAGAAGCTAGAGCGAAGGCAAAATTGTTGGAAAATCAGGAAAAAGCGCTGATTACAGCTTTGGGACTGCGCTTCAATCTCTCCGTCTGTCAATGTTCCCATCCCCCAGTTGCAGCACGAAATAGTTTTCAATTTGTATGGATATATTTGAATATAGCCATATGTATATATAAATACTTGTATTTTTTATTTATACACATGTATGCATACATATCTAAAATATTTGTTTAAATTTTTTACAGCTCATAAATGCTGTGCTTCTTCTTTTATATTATTTATATATCATGAATGCTTGAACATATTTATATACACGTATATTTTTTATATTCTCAACAATTTCGTCTTTCTGTGGAATTTATGCTGCGTGATTTTCGCATAAATTACAACAATATTGGTAAACGTTTGCCCTGGGCAAAATGTTCATATCTAGAGGGCATTCACAAGGCCATAGTTAGCCTCATATCAAGTTTTTTAACCAGCCTCATCTTTCTCCCTCTCTCTCTCTCTCGCTCTCTCTCTCTCTCTCTCTCTCTGTCTCTCTCTTGTTTCTCCTCTATCTAACAACATGATATTTCATTCCAGCATATCTGTTAGTCAATCAAAGTCAGGCTACAAAATATTTACATTTCAAAGTTTTGGCCATTTTTTTTTTCAAGTTGTGTTTTACATAGTCTGGCCGCTAAATTGGCCAAATAAAAGCTAACAACTGCTAATGGGTTTCGCTACACAACATTTATCGACCAGCTCTCTCGTTGATGTTGTTTATGTTGTTGTTGTTGTCGTTGTAAAACATTGTTTCTGGTCCACTCTAATTGATATGAACATGGATTGTCATTAGGTTAATGCATCAATTGATAATGGAGTCGGGCTTTATGCCAATTAATTGAATTAAAGAGCAATTAATATATGTGCATGGGCTAAAAATACACCGTTAAAAACAAGTGTTGACAGCTAAAGTTTTTTCTACATTTATTTTTCAAGTGTATATAGAGAACATTTGATATATGCACAGAAATGTCTTGCACTTGAGCAATGGAAATGGAATTATTTTTAAATAACTTTTTCTGCAGACACAGAACTGAGTATGAGAGAGAGAGAGAGAGAGAGGGAGAGAGAGGTGTAGACATAGCATTGACATAAATCAACTCGGCGAACAAGCTGTTTAAATAGAAATTGCGCATTTCTATACAATGCCACGCCCCCGCTCTCACTCTGCCTCGCTCCCCTCTCGCTGCCGCCCACTGTTGCGCCATTAGCAGCTGAACTCATTTGTAATGCCAAAGTAAACAGAACATTCTGTTGCTGCTTTTTGGTGGCGTTTGAAAATGTCAACGAAATAAATTCGGTTTGGCATAAAATAAAATATTTACACATTGGCAAATGTTGTCACGCTTAAACAATTACCAAAAGCCTTTGTTGCGGTGCCTGGCTGGCCGAAAGAGAGACAGAGAGAAACAGAGAGAGAGTGAAAGAGAGAGATGAGATATTCAACTAGAACATAACATGGCGAGTTGCACACCTTTTTCTATTTATTCATTGATTCGAATCCCAATTAGAGAGCGTTCATATAAATGTATACTACGTACATATATGAGAGAGATAGAAGTAATCAATAGAAAATATATCGCTTAGCCACAAAGAATTCAATATTCCTCAGGCTCGAATCATAAGGCATTTCTTTATTAACCGAAATTCCAATTAACCCGCTTATTTCATAACAGTAGTAGGGGACCTGATATGCAATATATAATAAGTAAGTATAAAATAAGTAACTTTATCACAAGTTCAAATGCCCATCAGAGCCTTCATTTGTTTATCAACTATTCGAGTGATATCAATGTGAATTGTTGACATTAAGCTGACAGTAGCTTGACATGAGCTTCTGTTGTTTATGGAATCGCCTTTTTATAAATGTGATTCAAACCCTTATCTGAGCGCTGATTCACGAACAGCCCGGAATAGACACAATCGAACCGAACAGAGCTCGTCACAGTTTTACTCGAACGCAACATTTTCCGATAGCCCCAATTCACTTTTTGTTTGTTAGTGGGGTCAGTGTCAAGCCATGCTGTGATTCATCTGTGGCACTCGGAAATATGCCTGAGTGCGATTGCCATTGCGATTGCGAATGCGAATGTGCATGCTATTACGAGTGCACAAACAAATTGCAGTCACTCGATTGACATGCCATCAAAGCCCATTCACATCAACTTCAAAGCTCAACTGCCGTGAGATTGCTTCAACTCTAATCAAATCTGAAAAACAGCTCGAAAATCATAAAAAACGAAAAAACTTTTTAACTTTTTCGAGTAGCTCGCTCGAATCCAGCTTTCATTTGAATAACAAAATGAGTGGAGTGCTCTAAATGGAAGTGCTCTACTATCGGATGTCCCAGACTCTACTCATACTCATACTTATTCTGCATTTTTTCGCTGGGCGTAATTATGACTTCCCTCGGTCACTCCTCTTTAAATCTACTCTCTAACTGCTTTATCTCATCTCTTTGTCTACAAACTCGCCTGTCTCTTTTTTCTCTCTATCCTCTTTCTCTTAACACTCTTCCCTAAATCCACTCTCTTTTACTTCTGTGTACTCATCTCTCTCACTCTCCCATCTCTACCTATCTCTATTTTAAAGCCATCCTCATCTGAAGTAGATTATAAAATGGCCATAAAAAAGTCAAGTCCGACCGCAAATGCTTGTCAATTATTTAAATTACAAAATCTCTAAGAGTAATTTCAATTTTAATGTTCCATCTGTGACCCAATTGCAAAAGCCATAAACATAATCTCCGCGGCTCATAACTCATATTCGTTTATCCATATTCAGATCTTTGCGCACATTTTTTGTCTCATGGCTCACAGCAGCGACCCCCCGAGAGTATACATACATATGCCAATATGTATGAAGTATATAAATATAGATTAAGATATATATTACATAAGCGCATATATATTTGGATATATTCGTGCAAAAAATAGAAGCTCTTGAATTTGCGTGAGTGTCGCCAGAAATGTTAAAATTATTAGAAATAATTAAAAAATGTTTAACAATTTGTGCACACACACACACACATTCGCACACTATCTGCCTATCTCTCTCACTCTCTCGTTCTCTATGTGTGCGTGTCTGCATATAAAATATCCAAAATGGCTGCAAAGGAAATTTCGTTGGAAAAAAATGTTTGGTAAAAACTTTTGGCGTTCCGTGCGCAAAAAACCCGCGCCAAAAAAAAATTATTAAACAAAAAAAAAAAACAAATTGCTAAAAATTTATTTTTAACAAAAACCAACAAATAAATGAAAAAAAAATCTGAATTTCAGCATTTAAATGCATAAATAAATTAACTGCCCAACTAATATTTTTTTCCCACAATTTCCCAGCGAACTTTTTTCCCACGTGCTCGAATTCGCATTTCGATTGTTCAATAGTTGCAGATTTAAGTAAAAATCTGTGTGTAATTGAATTTTGTGTTCAGCAATTTAATGGTTGAAATCGGGGCGTGGCACTTACCTTCTGCACTAGCAGGGGCTGGGCGAAGTCGACGCCGCCCTGCAGACGAAATCCCCAGGGCTGGGCATCGAAACGTGACAATTTGATTTGCAGCAATTGCGGTTGGGCCATTTTCCTATTGCACTAAAATTCGGAATTCGGGAAGGAAGAAAGGTGCTGCAAATAGAAAGAGACAGAGACATGCATATGAGTAAATATGTGTGAAAACGTAGGTCGTACACTTGATATCACGTAGTTGACTAATTAAGCTATGCAAACGTAAGGAAAATTCCCAAAAAGGAAAAACCCTCGAAATATGCAACTCCCACAAATAGAGATATTACTCAGGCATGTGTACACACTACAAGCTAATCCCAACATGCCATACTTTCTCTCTCTACCTCCCTTCCTCCCTCTCTCTCACACTCTATCTCCCATCTGTGGTGCTGCTGCTGGGCAGCCTTGATCTCTGCGGCAGCTGCAGCTGCCAGCGCATTCTCGCATGTAAAACAGAAAAAAATAGCAGCTCCAGTGCCAAAACTGCCAACATACTTTAGGCTCAAACTAACCAAGACAAGCTGGAAGAATTGGAGATACCCTGGAAAGGAGTTTGAGAAAGGTTAGATCCCAGATGTAATAGTGAACATATCAAAGAAACGTATTGCTTCTCTTATACATCAATTGATTGATCATAATAGGCTAAGAGATGCCCAGTGAAAAACTCACAGTAGAAAAGTACGAAGTATACACTGTCAACAAACTATATTCAAATAAGGTTAGCAACATTTTAATAATACGTAATCTAAAACCTAAAAACAGCCAATTATCTACTTTACTTAGAGATACCTGGGGAGCTATTAAATTATTAATGTATATCACATATTGAATTATATTTTAGATATATAACTAATATACCTCATATTCTAAGCTCAACAGAATCTTGTTAGATATCACCATTTTTTTCTCACTTTCTGTACCTCGTGCACCCACTCACTCTGCTATAGCCCCTATATGTGTGTGTGTGGAAAAAGTGCACGCATTCGAGTGCACATGCTAACGGGAGACCCAGTTGTGTGTAAGTGCGGCTTACATGGCTTTTTTCCTGCTAGTTATAGTCGTCATGGCTGCTTTGTAATTTGTGCAGTATGAGAGGGGTATGCGTCTATGTAGTTGTGTATGTGTGTGTGTGTGTGTGTGTGTGTGTTGATTTAGTTTGCTGCATAACAATTTTGCTGAGTGTTGTGTTTTTTATTAGTAAAGACGGTCGACGCCTCATGGCTCGGCTCTGCTCGGCTTGCTTTGGCTCGGCCCGGCCCGTTCAGCGCCGTTCCGTTGCGATGCAGCAAAGGCAAAGGGAAGACACTCAAAGTGGAAGTAACTACATTAAGCTATTAAAACGACAGCAGCTGCCAGGCGGCCAGGCTGTCTACAAAGGACAAGGACACACACACAACACACACAACACATGAAACACATACAACACATGAAACAGAGACACATTTTAGCACACACAGCAGTTTAATTAACGTTAAGTGCGGGTGGTAATGGCAACAGCTCGATCTACAAGTCACGGCATGCATACATATATGAAAGCGAGAGGGAACGAGCGAGCAGGCGAGTGAGCGAGTGAGCGAGTGAGCGAGAAAGAGAGGGGCACGGAAAAGCCTTGAGTTGGGCCACATTTGCATGTAAATGCCTTGAAAGTCGAGCGCCCATTAGAAGCGGGCACTGAAATAATTTAATTAAAATATTAAATAATATGTGAAGAGCCAAAAAGAGCGACGCGTCGTCGCCCGACTGCAGCGCCGCACACACGTGAAACTGTGCAAACATAAATGCCAGCTGGAGTGCCCGATGCTGAGATTCCAGATATCAACTACGAGTACACCTGTCTGTGTGTGGGTGCACGTGTGTTTGTGTGTGTGCGAGTCTGTCTGGCTAATTACTCGCATTAGAATTGGGTTTTAATGGTCTCTCCCATTTGGAGCATCTGCACAGGTCTGCGACTACTAATATCTAGCTCAACAGCTCTTCACGAAGAAGATTAGCGAGGAGGCTGAAGCAATATGGAACAGTGGAACATGAGCACGACATAAGTGGAACAATGGAATACGGGCATTTGAGCAACACTGAATCGATTACCCAAACATTTCTGCCACTCAGACCTAATAATGAGCGCTAATTACTTGCTCGAACGCTAATTGGGAGCAGCGGAGCATTGACTAGCGGAATATGGAAATATAGGGAGTAGAATACTACTGAACTATAACTAACACTAAAGCCAATGGCAATGCTGAAGACAAATGCCTATACTAATATGGAAATTAAGAGAGTAGAATACTACTGAACTATATCTAACACTAAAGCCAATGGCAATGCTGAAGATACTGATACTAATACTAATATTAATACTAGTATCTATATCAATGCCAATACGCATAGCCTTAATATTTTTATACTAATAGTAGCTGTAATGCTAATGCTTCACAGAAATACTCATGTACTACTACCAATACTCCTACCAATACTAATACTAATGCCTCACAATAATACCAATACAATGACAATGCAGCAGCAATGACAATGACAATTATAATAATTGATAGCTTTATTTGCTCAACAACTATGTCAACTTCCTGGCTGTCAGCTTTAACCTGTCCGCCAGCTTGATTGGTCGAACCCTGGCAAACGAACCAACACAGACACACAAAAACATATATATGTCTATATATATAGACATTTATCATTAACTTATGCCCTATCCATTGGAGCTTTATGACTAATAACCAAATGCCAGCTTACGAACAGAATCCAGGCACGGATACACGTATTTCATTTCCTCATTCAACGCGATACGGGCTCGACATTATGCAAAATAATCAGCCCGAAAGCTCTTGCCCATATGCAGATACAATTGTAGCTGTAGCTGTAGCTGTAGCTAAAGCTGTAGCTGTGTCACAGCTTGTGGCTGCGACTGCGACTGCGACTGCGACTGCGACAAAACTTATCGCTAATAAGTTTTACACACAATTGGCAAATTAAAATTTATTTATATGCATTCAGGAGAAGTGGGGAGCTGCGCCTGGCCTGGAGCTGGGCTGTGCAGAGGGGAGCTGCCATTCGATTGCGACTGCTGTTATTATTATTGCTGTTGACGTTGGACATTGGATTTGGTATTGGGTAAACGAATTGGTATTGGCGTCGCACAGGAGCGGACTAGCAGCCGAGAGGCCCACAGGCCAAGCCAGAGGCACGAGCTAATGAGAGTAGCTAATGTGGGACGCCAGTGAGAGCACCCAATGTGCTTTCTGCTATTAATACATTCTTTGTTATTATTTATCATAAGTAGAGGAATCACTCACTCATATGGAAATAGAATAATTTGAGTGTTTTCTTTTTGTGGATCTCTGTTTCTCAGTCCAAAACTTTATTAAACATAGATCTAAGCTCAGTCTTTGTTACGGCTGTGAGACCCTTGGTTTACAAGTGCGCTCCTGAGTTTGTGACTGTGCCGCGTTGCCCCTCCTCGTTGCCATGAGCTGTGTGGCACAAGCAGCCGTTGCATTTCATTTCATTTGATTCAGGGAGAGCAACAAATCAATTTGCATTCGCTTGTTTTTGAGGATTTATGGCACAGCCATGTGTGTGATGTGTGTGAGTGGTGTGAGGGGTGTGTGTGCATTTAATTTTTGGGGCTTGGTACATGTTTTAAAATATTTCTTAAACAAAAGCGAATATTTAAGCTGGACTGCGCTGCGGAGCTGGAGCCGAGCCAGCGGTCATCGAAATTGATTTCTGACTCACGTATTTTATGTGCCATTAGCAGTTCTGGCATAGCTATGACCAGCAACTGCTCCAGTAGATGGGACCCGCACATGAAGCGAATGACCGACAGCAGCGGCGGCAACAATCGAGAAGCCAAGCAAAGAGTGGAAGCCAACGCAATCAAGCCGAAACCTCAGAAATTCGACCGAAAACCGAAAACCGAAAAACCAAAATCAACTGAAGCATCCAATGGCCACCGCGGATCGTTGCCTCTTTTAACGCTGATGATGTCATCCAGGGGACAGCAGGGGGCAGCGCACAGGGCGAGAGGGGGGAGTGTGGGGGAGAGCGTAGCCAGCAACTGGATACGGCAATTCGGTTTGGGGATTTCGCACGCTGCTCAAAATCTTTGTAAATAATGAACCACAATGCTGGATACCCATTAACAAACGAGCCAACGACATGGGGTATACACAATGCCAGAGATCTCACTATGAGCTAACACTAGACGTGACATCTGGAATCGCAAAGCAGAGCATCTCAGCGCCTGGCATTGACCACCAATCAAACATGTTTCTCTCTGGCCCATTGCCTTTGCTTTATTTTTTTGATAGTTGATTTTCGTTGTTTTTTCTCTCTCTCTCTGTTTTTTTCTGTTCGATTTCAATGATTAGATTTGGGCGGTCAGAGATAACTCGGACACTTAGTCAGCAGACCGAGAGGAAGTTATTTTTGGACAAATACCGTTCCATTATAGTTATATATATGTATGTCTGGGTGTGGGTGTGGGTGCGTGCGTATTGATGAATTGGCAAAGCAAGGGAAAGAGCATTAATATAGAAAGAACTAAATATACATATGTATACAGATGCAGATTGAGTTATGGATATTACACAGATACTTTTCTCTAATATCTCACATCCCGTTCGGGCAGGTATCGATGCTGCACACACACACTTCCCTTTTATATCCCTCTAATGAGGCACTCGCACTGCAGTTGCTGCAACCGGAGAAGATTTACTCAATTATTTATAGTGCTAAACAAATTCAAAGTTTAGACAAACTTTTAGCTGGCACGCCAGCAGCAACTCGAGATGTGGCTGATGCTGTTGTTGTTGTTGCTGCTGTTGTTGCGGAGTATTTTCAACACATTAATAAACTGCATATGCAAACAGCTCATTAAAAGCCACTCGAGTGCCTGTGGCACTCGCAACACGCAAGTCAGAGCCGGAGTCAGCAGCTGGAGTGCCAGGCCAAACGAGATCTCTTTCACAACTCTCCCATGGGCAACTGCAACTGCAGCAGCAGCAGCAGCGGCAGCAGCAGCAACTGCCACTGCCACTGCCACTGCATGTGGCATGTGTGTTGTTGCAGCATGCGACGTCAAGTGGCCAAGCCCGAGTGTCGAGCAA